TAACCGTTTAACAGAGATGTTGCTGTTTATAGCCACTTATTACTACATTCAACACTGTATGTTGCTAGAATCTGAACTGAGACAGAACATTAAAATGTGATGTAAAAATAGATAAAGAAGGAACTACAAATCTTACTGGGAGGTGTTGAGCAGATTTTTGTTCATGCTGGATTGCGTCAGTGGCAACATGGACAATAAACAGCTTTTGTGTTTTAAAAAGGCAGTAAACTTGCTTTATATTCACAGTATTGTAATCTGTTGAACACGAAACCCACAAAAATATTGAATGGCCTTTTTGCCAGGAGCCCACTGACTGCTGGAGCCACATCCAACCAATAAAACCAGTTTTGAGTTACTGGTTTCTTTGCCCTGAAACCTTCAGACCACAATCAAGAAGATGAGCCGTGAGACAGGAAATACATCTAACAAAGCACAAGTTTTTTAAGGCTAACTCAGGCGTCCTATAGTATTATTAGTACAAGACTTTTAAAAGTTGTGAATCATAGAATCATAGAATCAACCTGGTTGGAAGAGACCTCAAAGATCATTGAGTCCAACCCTACTGCCATTACTAGACCATGGCAGTAAGTGCCACATGCGAATAATCATAATTACAGATTTTAAAGCCAGAGGAGACTGTTTCATGTGGTGGTCTCACCAGGGCAGCAGAATCAAATAATTTTTGAATTAAATTAATAGAAAACATAGCTTATATCAGTGGCTGACTCATGATGTGTTATGGTGAGATAACTGCTATGTACATAATGGAAATTAATCTGTAGACTGAATAGTGTGTGCATGTAGATCTCCTCAGTCTGGAACCATGTAAGAAGTTATGTTAATCCCTGTCAGTGGGTACAGTCATGTAGATGGCAAATAACTTGATCCTTACCCTCTTGGGCCCAAATAAATTGTGGTACAGTGTTCTGAAACGCTTTCGGGTGTAATTGCAGCGATATGCTCCTCCCATAAGGTACTCTATCACCAAACCAATATCAATCAGACTTATCCGATAATCAGGAGGCAAGTTTCCCTGCAATGAAAATAAGGATGGTGGAGAGGAAGAAATGCTTATTACTGGCATTGTTAAATACACTTTTTAATGATGTCAGAATAAAACAAATCAAATAGTTAAAACCAGGAATGCATTATTAGGTTGGTTAATTAATTCACCTTAAAGTAGATCCAATTGAAACCTGGATATTCTGTCTTGGAAAGAAGACAGTTAAATAAGTTAAATAAGGAGGTGAAGAATTTGTTGAAAGTAACAGAAGACAATGTCAGTACACAGCACTCATATACTTCAGCTGGGGAAACAAGGAACATGACTGCAGAACAAAAAGCACACTTGGAAGGCCAGGCACAGTTGCTGGACTCTTGTTCTGCAAGATCGCACCTTTTCTGCACCATCTGTCACCCACAACTTACCCTGGCATCTCACATCTCTGCCAGCATCTCTTTAGACTGCCTCATCTGAACTGTTAAGGCATGGTGAAGTGACATCATGCAGAATCATTTGTTCATATGGAACCAGCTCCTGCATGTGACCTTCCCATTCTGCAGTGTTTCCTTCCCATGTTCCAGGAAAGGAAGGACAGGAGACAAGACCAGTGTTACCAACTCTAAAGGACTTAGCCAGTGCATGAGCTACTATTATCGCTAGTTACTAGAGCCAATGAGAGTCTATCAGCATTTGTGCTTGGAGTTTTGTTGAATGAACACACATCTTTGATTAAATTGCACAGCAAGGATGAGGAAAGCATCAGTATGTGTGAAAGCTGTACCAAACAAAATATCTGTGGTTAATTATTTTGGGTTTTGTTTATGGAGAAAACTACCAGCCTAGCAATTTTTCTAGATTGTTCCTCCTTGAACTTCTTACATATTTTACTGAAAGCCCCTTTAAAACACATAATCTTGCTAATGAATTTCCAGCAGAGCTGTGGAGATTGTCTCCTAAGAGTTAAACTGTACTTGTGGCAAGGGTCATTAGCAGGATCCTGGAAAATATGCCTATATACTTGATCTTCCATTTATTTTTCTTTCTTATCCTCTGTAAAATATAATATATGTATAGCAAGTCTTCAGCATGTACCTTTTATTCTAAAGGGAAAAAGAATAACAAATGTGTCCACATCTTACTGTCCTCACTATGTGGACTTCCTTCACATATCTTCCTTCTCTTCACTGTCAAGACTGAAAATGGCACCACTAAGGTCATGAGTTTTCCAGTACTTGTGGCTTGCAAAGTTACAAAGAAATATTTAAGTAACAGACTGTTTCTTACTGCATATGAATCTGATTCTGCCTTTGAGTTAATTCAACATTTCCCTTCTCCAGTTGCAGTAAGCCCAATGGGACATCTACAGGCCAGAACAATTTCAGACTGGGTTGGACTCACAGACGTGCTGGTGAAGTGCTCTAGGGGGTCTCTGACCATGGAGGAACAAAAACCCAGCTTGGCCACACCTGCTCTTTGTTCCCCACCATGAAATTCCGGAAGGAAAAGTAAAATACTTTTTTGCACAGTCAACATTGCAGAATGACCAGAAATTTGTGTTAGCTTGAAAATTTTTCAGTGCACTATAATAAATTAATCTTATTTTCCATAATGGTAGACCGCATGGATTACAATTAGCATGTAGCTCTTTTTATGTGTTCATTAGAAAAAGGTTAATAATTCACACGGAGAAATTTTATGACTGTCATGTCTTGCTTGAAATATCTGTGTTTCTGGAGCAATCTGCCTGGCTTCTCTGCAGATGTGCTTAATAGATTCAGAGCCAAGAAACACTACTGGAGAGCAGATGGCAACTGGTTCTGCAGAAGAGATAAAATGGATGCAAAGATCCTCCTCCTTTCTCTTCTACTTCAGCCATGAAGTGCAATGCTTATTTCCTGCCCTGCTACCATGGTACAAACAGCACGCTGAAAAGGTTGAGACAGGAGAGAGGGCTGTGGTGCTGTGGTGTACCCTGCCTAGCAATGGGCTGGGATTCAAAGGAACAGAAAATAAAGCAAATTTAGTGGCAAAAGTTGAGCTGCCAACCATTTTTCCTGTCCTTTAACATATAATTTTGCAATCTTTCTAATCCTGGCTAATCTGATGGGCAGGGGAGTTACTATGGTTTGCA